ATGACCCTGCTTCAGGAAAAGTCTCCCATCCACCCGAGCCTGGAAGCTGCCTCATGGAGTTCACCATCGGGGCATATCCCACATTCCTCAAGGCTTGGAAGGGCAGAGGGACTCAGCTGGAAAAACACCGCTGCCCTGGCCATGGCTCTCTTGCTCTGTGGATTCAGGCAGCTGGGGAGACGGAAGGGACATTTGGGGACATCGTCTTTCAGAGTTTGGCTGCCAGGCTGCCTGACTACTGTTCGTGAGGCTAGGAGATAGGCATTGAAAAGAAAGACTAATTGAAAAAAAAAAAGGCGATGAGATCAGAAGCTCAGCATGTTCCTCCAAGGATCGCAAGAACCCAGTTACGTGCCCTAAGCAATGGTGCAGGGAAGCCAGTACTGGTCAAGGTACCAGCCCAGAGGGACTCAGTAGGGTGGGGAGGGGCGTCTACATCTCAGGAAGTCGGCTTGCATGAGATTTGTGGTTTTCAGGTCTCTGGGACTGAGGAAACCGAGTCCCTTCAGACCCCAGGATGGGGTGGGTGGGGGTGGGTGCCGTCAACCAGCCTGCCACCCACGCTGAGAGGGAGGGGGCCTCCTGTAGACCTGCTACCCTTGACCTTATTCTGCCATAGACTCTCAAGAACAACAAGCAAGAGAAGCACACAGATAGAATGAGGAAGATGACAGTGATGACAGACTTGAGGCCTTGTGTCCGGAAAAGCTGACACAGGAAGTCAGACTCCAAAGAGGGGGAAAAACAGTTCCAAGGAAGACGGGAAGAAATGAAAAAAGACCAGAAAATACCAGCTAGGGTACCAACCAATGACACAACGCGCAAGATATTATTCTGTGTTACAAAAGAGGAAATGATACTCCATTGCCCTATTATAAATTTGCTAAAAATACATTTATATATCTTTTTTATCTGAACAGAAAAATAGACTACTCTGAGATGTGTGGACATCTTATGACGTGGGAGGGCATCAGATCCTTCCAGAGCCAGAAAACTGGCCACAGAAAATGCAGAGGTAAGTCTTATTTCTGGGTGCAGCCAGGGTTGTATTGGGTGGTCCTGGCTGAGTGGAGTGAAAGCATTTGGATGCTGTCCCATGAGCAGTCATAGGTGAGCGGGCACCTGTTTGGGCTGAAAAGTTTCTGGTGCCCTGTGGGGGGTGGAGGGGAGGAGCATGGGGGTTGCGGGGTGGGGGAGCCCCATTTCGCAGCCAAGTTCGTGGCCCCTGTGTTTCCAAGCTATTTGGCTCCATGCTCAGAAGCCTGGGGTTGGATTATGGAGCGAGCTTAGTTTGTGAAGAAATTCGGAGAGAAACTGAGATGCAGCTTCTGTGACCGCTGTCCATGGTGAATCTCCCATGTCCCCTGTTCACGGAGTAGATGCTCTAGCCATGACTGGGGCAGGATGGGAATACATAACAGTAACACATACCCACAATACATTACAGTGACAAAAGAGAATACTGTGTCATTTTGTTTTCTCCTAGGAGCATAGATCTTGTTAGAAGAAAGGGCAGAGAGAGGCTACAGTGACCAAGACACGTGGGATCCGTTTGCCAACGTTTGTGTCGCCAGCGATCATCAGACAAGAAAGGAATGGCCTGCTCTGCATTTTGTTGTTTTCTTCTTTCTCTTCTTGCTTCTAGCCAAAGGGGCTTCCTGGGAACAAATGTTGCCTCCTCCTCCTTCCTTTCCCCTTCAAGTGTGCTTAAGATAGAATCCCTAAAGAAGGCACTGAGAAATCTGCTGTGCGCAAGTTCCGGGGTTTTCTTTTATCCAAAGACAAAGGGAGTTCTGCACGGCCTCCCCCAGTGCCTGCCCACCTTGGCGCCTCGGTGCTGGTGGCAGATGCCATCCCTCTGTCCCCAGGGCAGAAGCTGGAACCCCAGTGCAGCTGAGTTCTTGACATGTGTCACTGAATTTGCCAAAGGGACCAGGCCTCCGCCCGCCTTCGGCTGCAGGCTCACCAGAGGGGTTGACTCACTTCTTTCTGCTTTTGATGGGCCAAACGCAGGTGGAAACGGGTCACCAGGTTCACGAAGTCCTTGGCTCCACATTGTGGCTTTCCTCTTTTCTCTCCAAGGCCTATCTATCAAGTTTGGCTTCTCAGTGGAGTCCCTCAGAGTTGATTTCTCAGTGCGGGTACATCCGGTGTACACATAGCTACGAGTGGAGTGTACACATAGGCCAATCAGTCTGGTCCTTTTTGGCAGGTGCGGGTGGGGGGGGGCGCTGGGAAAATTTAGGCTACTCTATTGGAATTGAGCAGAGAGATCTAGAGTCCCACAATATACACACAGGTGGATTAGAGGACACAGTAAAACCCAAACAGAATACTTCCTAAGCATAGTATATGCTGTATTTCAATGATTCTGTTTCTATAAGAACTCAGTAGGACTCTGGCTATGACACCTGGAAAGGTAGGTCCTTAGTGATAGACTTCTGAATTCATCCTTCAAAAGTGACTCAGTGAAATGCCAGGTTAAGGTCAGACCAAGTCCACGGGCAAGGAAGGGCCAGGTCCTACGTGACACAAGGCAAAAGGGGCCTTTGGTTAAAAGTTGCACCAAATGGTTATTAGTTGTTTTTTTTTTTTTTTAAGAAATAATCATTTCTAATCTGTACAAGTCACATGTGCCTCTACCAACACAAGAAATGCCTTGATTTGAAGAAGGGGCACTAAGTTCCTTCTCATGATATATGGCTATATTGAGACATGTTCACTTTCCTGATATGTAAAATAGACTATGGTTATTGTTACTCATTTTACAGATAGCATCAGCTCTAAAAATATCTGAATCAGAAATCACAACTATTTACTTTTTATCAAAAAGCATGTGTTTGTTTTCCCTGAAGTTTCACATTTGTGCTGATGGTAGACAGACACAGCGAGGAAAACAGAGACATGGTAGATGCCAGGAGGGAACTCGTCCCATGGCTGCTGCTCCTCCAGCATCCCCAGCCGCAACGGTGTGCTCGGCCACGCAACTCTGCGGTGCTGCTGCTTCCTCTCCAGGCTGTGCCAGCCAGCTCAGGGGGGCCTCACGTACCCGCCACCGCTAACTAACTCCCCTGGCCTTGCTCTGAGAACACTGGAGATGCCCACTAAGAGTCATCTTCCTCTGCTCACACATCAAGCAATGGGACTGCACCCTGCTGGAGGTCGGGGGGAACCACAGCCCCTGGAGGGGCTGAGGAGTGGTTACCAACTGGGTTTGGGTGATGAGCCCACGCGTTTCAACGTCAGGCTGCTGTATGGGGGCAGGCAGAACAGACAGGTGGATCATGCCCCCGGTGCTAACAGGCAGGCCAAGGCCAGTGACAGGTTATCTGCATAACAGGCAAACAAATCCCGTCTCTGCTCCCTGCCCGTCACTGCCCACTACTGTACCCTTGGGACATGGCCGGTCAGCGCAACAGTAGGAGAACAGCATTGTCTCAGGTGTGTATTACAGACAGGCAGACAGACACTGGGTTACTTTGGCGCCAGCCCCATGGCCTTGCCACTCCACAGTTCAGCCCAATGTCACTGCCCTAAGGAGTGGCCGCCAACACCAGATCACTGGGCTCAGAGCAGGCAGGACAACACCAGGTCATCAAACTAGGACAGGAAGACCAACACCGAGAAAAACAGCAGAACCACTCACAGGGCATATGGATACTTATTGCTTGTGTCTGCACTGGCTGCATTGATGGCTGCTGGCAGGAGGGCGGAGCTTGTCGTATGGACACGGACACCGAAAACACACCCATAGCTGATTGACAGGAAAGAACAGAGTACAACACCCAATGCCCAAGTGCCACTGCATCCTGGCGAGATGTGCCTGTCTCCCAAACGGGGGACTTGATGGGAAGCGCCCCCACCCCATGGGCCAAGGACCCTTGCTGACCCATGAGAGTGGAGGGGAGAGTTTCCAAGAGCGAGGGGAGGAGCCCGCAGACTGATAGGGCAATCAGCGATGCCAGCACAGTCTCACCCACCGTGGTCAGAAATGGGCAAGGAGCAACAACCCCACCACAGTTCCAATGAGTGGCCCACGGGAAAATAGTGCTTATTTTAAAGTGCAAGATGTTGAGACTGTCCCTGGTAGAATCTATTTTTGAAAAACATAAAGTGCTTTTTATTAACTTTTTTTGAGCTTGAATATCACAGGAAACAAAAAAGGAAAAAAAAAAAAAAGAATTTCTATCGTAGTAGGTGATGTACCTACCGCAGCAGGAAGTGTTCAAAAGTCTGGGCATTTCAATTAGGGGTGTTTTTTTTTTTCCTCTCTCATTTTTGCAGGTTTAAAAAACAATCCGATTTTTATGCTGTTCTTCAGTAACACACAATCGCTTTGAATAAGCTGTGTCTTTTGCATAATTTGACACTTGCATATCTTTTGAGTCTACCCTAGCAATGTCAGGAAGCGTCTTCCTTGTAGCATCCTAAAGCCATCCTCTGGGTTCACACTTTTGGCTCAGTACCTGCCTTCTGAGCCTCTCCCAGACTGCCAGAGGGCAACTAACACTGAGCAGAAGTAGGGGTGCAATTTCCCCTCATGACATCTCCAAATACAGAATACTGAAGTCAGTGGAGACATCTAAGGAGAGCTTCCCCCATCACCAGCATTCCTCGGAGCCTTGGAGCAGCAGCAGGAGCTAACAGAGCAGCGTTCCTCGTAACTGGCTGGGCAACTGCAACACTGCCTCAATCCACTTGCTCTGGCTACACCAATCCCTCGGTCCAGCAGCCTTCTCTGGCTAAAGCCAGCAGGGTGGGAATGCTGCCCACAGTGGCTGTGATGGAAAGCCAAGAGGGAAGGCTGGGGAGTGGGTGGCCTTAGTGGTGAATGGTGGTGGTGGCCAAGGAGCTCCACTCCTGTCATTCCCGACCCCCAAGGAGGGGGGTGGAGTTGTGTGACATGACTTGGCCAATGTCACGCCCATGTTCATGGCTCTCTGTGCCCCAAGATGTTGTCTCTGCAGTCTCTCTTTTCCCTGGTGAGGAGGGGGTTTCTGCAGAGTTCAACCACAGAAGCCCTCTGGCAGGCAAGCTGAGCAATACACAGTCTCCTCTCCATGGAGGGTGAGGGTAGTTCAGATGCTCTGATCCCGAGTGCTCCCATGAGCTCCTCCTCCTCCTGGCAACACGCAGACATCGGGGGAGATGTGGTTCTCGAGTTTGCACTTCTCCTGACCACTGGGGCCTTTTCCAGTCAACCCTTCTGTGGAGTAAATGCAGTTCTGCCTTAGAAACTTCGGGGATGCAGGTAGCGGGGTGCTTTCAAAGTGATTCTTCTCTGATCTAGTCCCAATGCTGAACTTAGGGCTGGTGCTCCCGTGGAGGCTCTTGGGAGGACTGGAGTCCACACTGTAGAGCAGCTGTCCCTCATCATCCGTGTCAGCGTCGATGTACTGGTGGACCCCAGCCTCAAAGTTGAACGCTATCGCTGGGGGCTTCTCAGGTGACCGGGGAGGCGTTCTAGCACTTGCTGTGGTGTAAATGGAGGACTCGGGGCTCAACATAGGTTTGTCCAAGAGTGTGGCACACTCCAAGCCAGCAACAGCTGCCGCCGCGCCCCCCCGGTTCCTAAGAGGCTCGTGGTACATCCCCAGAACGGGGAGCAGTGGACTGGGTTCACCTGCCATGAAGTTGACTTTGAGTGCTCGGAGCTTCAAGGGGTTGTTGGTCTTCATGGAACTCTTGGGGCTCTCAATGAAGAAGCTAGAGCAGTGGCCGGCCTCCGGGGTGGGGTTGGCTTCCACAAGCCTCCCACCACTGGCACCAAGAGCGCCCCGCCAGCCCATCTCTGGGGCCACGCCACCCCCAGTCTTGGTAGGGAGTGAAGCCAAAGGGCTGTGGGAGAACCTGGTAGCTTCAGGGAAGTCCGTGGCACAGCTGATGAAGCTGTCGATGCTTGACATACTGCGCATGTCGATGACCCCTTCGGTGCGTGTGGGCAGAGGGGCCACGGGGCTGGGGATGCTCTCCATTTCCAGCTCTTCCTTTGGTTTGCTCTGGGTGGCTGCCTCCTTGGTGTGGAGGATGGGCTGTGACTGGGTTTTGGCCATCTTGTTGTACATGTCTTCCAGCTGCTGGACATTCAGGTGCTGGGGACTAGATGACGATCTGGCTTTCTCAGGGGATCCCTGCTCCTTGGCTTCAAAGGATTTACTTGAGCTGGTTTCAGACAGGGTCCTCTTTGTCCACTTCCACTTGTTGGGGGACAAATGGTTATCTTGTACTTTATCCTTCTTACCCACATTCTCCCCATTCTTCTCCACCACAATGTCCATCATCTCGATGCTCCGGGCGAAGGCATCTTTCATGTTCATGGACACGATGCTGCCATTCCTCTTGGCTCGCTCCAGAGCCTCTCGCCGCTTGATGGCTTTCTCCTGTCTCTTCTGCTCCTTGTAGAACTCAGAGAAGTTGTTGACGATGATGGGGATGGGGAGAGCAATCACCAGGACCCCTGCGATGCAGCAGAGCCCCCCAACAATTTTTCCCAGGAGAGTCTTGGGGTAGATGTCCCCGTACCCAACGGTTGTCATGGTGATGGTGGCCCACCAGAATGAGGCCGGGATGCTTTTGAACTTGGTGTCATCCTCATCTTTCTCAGCAAAGAAGACCAGGCTGGAGAAGATCATGATGCCCATGGCGAGGAAGAGGATTAGCAGACCCAGCTCATTGTAACTCCTTCGCAGAGTGAAGCCCAAGGACTGGAGGCCCGTGGAATGCCGCGCTAGCTTCAGGATGCGGAGGATACGCATGATGCGGAAGATCTGGACCACGCGGCGCACATTCTGGAACTGTAGCACGCTCTTGTTGGACTCGGTGAGGAAGATGGTGACGTAGTACGGCAGGATGGCCAGCAAGTCGATGGCATTGAGTGGGCCCTTGAAGAACTTCCACTTCTTGGGGGAGGAAAGGAACCGTAGCAGGTACTCCATGGTAAACCATGCAATGCACACGGCCTCCACATGGGCCAGCTGGGGATTGTCTGTGGTCTGGCCAAATTCATCGAGGCTTTGCAGCTCAGGCAGGGTGTTGAGCGACAGGGCAATGGTGGAGAGGACAATGAACATGATGGAGATTATGGCCAGAATCTGTGAGGAGAAAAGAGGGGATTTGGTTATGAACCACCGACACATGGGACAATCTCCTAACCAACTTATGCAGTCTACAGGGACTTGGAATGTTCAAGAACATGTCACATGAACTGTGAGCTGAAAAGAGAATTTCTTCTGATTGTTGCTTGTGCAGCTGAAAAAAAAACCAAAGCCCAGAGAACAGGAAACAGTTTCAGGACAATCAGCAAGTCCAGAGGCCAAGCCAACTTCTCTGGGAAGGGCTGACTGGAACCTGGTTAGGCTTTGCAGCCTATGCATTGTCTGTGACTGGTACCTTATTCTGTAGCCATAAACACGGCCATGGGTGACACCTAAGAGAATGGGTGTAGCTTTGTTTATAAAAAACAGTCAGCAGGCTGAATTTGACTTGCAGACCACAGTGGGCTCATTCTTGATGGTGAGCCATTTGTATTCGTGTTGTGGTGGAGGATGGTGATGGCACAGACAATAAGCTTATTCAGGGCCTGGCACAATAGCCTAGAGGCGAAAGTCCTCACCTTGAATGCACTGGGATCCCATGTGGGCACCGCTTCCTATCCAGCTCCCTGCTTGTGGCCTGGGAAACCAGTCAAGGATGGTCCAAAGTCTTTGGACTCTGCACCTGCGGGGAAGACCAGGAAGAGGCTCCTGGCTCCTGCCTTTGGACTGGCTCAGCTCCAGCCATTGCGGCTGCTTGGGGAATCATTGGATGGAAGACCTTTTTCTCTGTCTCTCCTCTCTGTATATCTGACTTTCCAATAAAAATAAAAAAATTAAAACACACAAAAAACCAATAACCTTGTTCTTACAACAATCCCATTTAGTGTCAGCAATACTAACTCCATGGGGGGCAATGAAGAACTGAAGATTTCTGCTTTTGTACCGCTGCTCCTGCTGAGGGAGTGGGGGACTGCTTCCCAGGCTTGTCCTACGAGCAACTGTTAAGAGCCTGGGCTCTGGTGTCAAAAACTTGCTTGAGGTTCGAGCCCCAGCTCAACTACTTCTTTTCCTCGATCAAGCTACTAAATCCTACTTCACCTCAGATTCCTCACCTGCAGAGTGCGAGGGTCATCGCTGTCTCCACCTTAGAGAGCTGCCCTGAAGACGGAATGCTGTGATGCGTGCAAGGCTTAGGAAAGCTGCCTGCATGCCCTATGAACACCTAATACACGTCACCTACCGTCACAGCACCGTCTTGGCTCGCCTCCCCTGCTCAGTCCAGACCAGCAAGCCTCTGAAGAGTCCCTTGCCCGCGTCCTGAACTGTATCTTAAAAGGAAATGCGAAGACTGTGGTGGGGACTGTGGTACTTCTGGCTCCTGCAGTGAATCTCAAGTCCACCTCTTTTTACTTCCTTTTAAATATTTGTTTTATTTGCATTGGAAAGGCAGATTTAAAGAGACAAGGAGAGACAGAGAAGATCTTCTGTCTGCTGGTTCACTCTCCAAATGGCTGTAACAGGTGGAGCTGAGCCACTCCGAAGTAGGAGCCAGGAGCTTCTTTCAGGTCTCCCATGCAGGTGCAGGGTCCCAGAGCTTTGGGCCATACTTGACTGCTTTCCCAGGCCACAAGCAAGAAGCTGGAAGGGAAGTGGGGCAGCCAGGACATGAGCCAGGACCCATATGGGATCCTGGTGTTTGGAGGTGGAGAACTAGCCAATTGAGCCACTGCACTGACTCCATTTAGACATCACTGATGAGTCATAATCTGACGCAAACCTGTGAGCCTCCACTTACGGTAAGGAACAGAGCAGGCAGGACGGCAGCTTGCTGAAGGTCCCCCCGTGCAGGTCTTGCTTTTCCCTTTGCTTTTCTGTGTCATTTCCAACACGAATGTGTGTGCACCCCCACCAGCCACTGCTCTGTTTAGTCATCACACTGCGTGGCTGTGGCTCTCCGACTCGGCTTTCCCAGATGCCAGCACCACCTCCTAGCCCACTCACTCACCTGCTTGGCTTTATTTTAGTCTTATCCTAGGAAAGAACAAAGTACTGCTCTGTGTGTGTGTGTGTGTGCGCGTGCGCACGCTGAGATGTACGGATGAAATATTCATCTCCATAAATGTGTGATTAGTGGAATAAAACATCTTGGCAGCTCATTTTTTGGAAAATTTTCTTATTCAAGATTTTGCTCAAGGTCTTTTGACTTGTGTGTGTTTCTTTTTTCTTTCCCTTTTGGTTTCAATTAATTATTTACTTTCCTTTTATTTGAAAGGGTAAATCTATCCTCTGGTTTGCTGTTCAAAAGCTGCTCCTAACAGCCAGGACTGGCTCAGGCCATAGCCAAGCAGCCTGGAATTCAGCCCTCGTGTTCCACGGGGTGGCTTGGGTCATCACAGCACTACTGTGTCCCAGGGTGGCCATCATCAGTAGGAAGCTGGAGGAGCAGGTGGAGCCATGACTCCTAAGTGGGATGTGGGCGTCACTAGCGGGGTCTTAGCTACTGTGCCAGCTGCTCAAGAGTCCTTCCATGCTGAGGCTGGGGCATAGCCTCTGCTGTGAATGGCTGTGTAGTCACAGGCATGGACCCTCTCCTTGTCTTAGTTTCTGTATGTGTGAACTCAAAATACACCAGCAATCCTCTACTGGGGGAATTTTTTTTACAGATTTATTTTAAAGAAAATATTTATTTATTTTATTGGAAAGAAAGATATACGTAAAGAAGGAGATAGAGAAAGATCTTCCATCTGCTAGTTCTCTACCCAAGTGGCTGCAACAGCTGGAGCTGAGTTGATCCAAAGCCAGGAGCCAGGAACCTCCTCCAGGTCTCCCATGTGGGTGCAGGGTCCCAAGGCTTTGGGCCATCCTGTACTGCTTTTCCAGGCCACAAGCAGGGAGCTGGAAGGGGAAGTAGGACATCTAGGACATGAGCTGGCGCCCATATGGGATCCTGGCTTTTACAGGGCAAGGATTTAGCCACTGGGCCACCATGTCAGGCCCTATTTTATTATTTGTAACTTGGCATTATACACCTTGAGGGAGATCTTCCATCTGCTGGTCCACTCCTCAGCTGACCTTGATAACTGCTGCAAAGGGCTAAAGCCAGGAGTCTGGAACTCTCTTGGGGTTTCCCATGTGGGTAGCAGGGGCCCACGCCCTCAACTCATCTTCTCTGCTTTCTCAGTTCACGTTAGCAGGGAGCTGGATCAAAAATGGAGCAACCGGCACTGGAGTGCGCAATTGGGATGCTCGGCTGCTGGTAGTTTAATTCCCTGTACTACAACCCTGACCCCTTGGGGGAGGGGCAGGTGACTGGGCCATTTCTTCAAGGAATTCTAGTTGTTACAGGAGAACAGGGGTACAGGCAGTGTGTTTCTGGCATCTGGTGGCAGGAGGCTGGGGTTACATCCCCTCATCCCTATGCAGAGAATGACCAGCCCAAGGCTGTGGGACTTGGGTAGGCCTGCTGTGGAGAGTCATGCGTGCAGCTGTTAGCACTGGACTAGGCACACTGGGCATGGGTCTCTCCAGGCAGCCAGCAGGCTGAGCCTTGTGGACAGCTGCTCCAGCTGCTTGAGCAGGACAACATCCCTGGAAGATTCCTGGGGAATAGCCTGTTTCTTTAAGAGCCGGGAGCTCCCGTTTTCCCCAGAGGCCAGCAGGGGAAGCCTGCTCCAGTTTCTAACCTGGAGACAACACCAGGGAAGGCCGCATAATTGATGTTCTGCCGACAGGCGCATGAATTATGCACCCAGCTTTTGTACAGTCCTTGGGCCCTGTTATTCTAAGGCTGGCAATGGCTTTGTACCCAAGGATGTGCCCTCCCCTGGTTTCCCCTCAGCCCAAGGACAGACGCCTAGGCAGGGGAGAGGCCCCACTGGGTCCTGGGGCAGGTGCACCTACTGCTCGGACTGGGTGAGAGGATCAGAGGATGCCAGACCAGCCTCCCTCTCTGGGTGTGGGAAGCCCACCTGTCTGCATGAACAGAGAAGTGATGGGCTAGTGGAAGGGCACCATGGGGCGGTCAGGAGTTGGTGCCCCCACCCTGGGAGCCCAGCACACTCAGGACTGAGCTGCTCCTGCACAGTCTCCTTGCAGCTCTCTGCGCGAGTGGTGAGACTGAGGCAAGGATGGGAAGAGCCTCACCCACGGCCACACAGTCCATCGCCGCCAAGGCTGCACAGCGTGTGGGAAGCACAGGGCCACGCTGCGCCAATTAGGGCTTGCAGATGGCTTCTCAGACACATGTGCAACCACAGTGACATTTTTCATAGCCACCAGAAAGCAGAGAGAGCCCGACCGACTACCAGTGGTGGCCAGATACACACGATATGGTGTGTACATGCAGTCGGATGCTGTTCGCATGGATCCATGTTCCAGCAGGGATGGACCGCAATTATGCTGAGCTCGGGGAAGGAAGCCACACACAAGGCCACTCATCATCTGATTCCATTTAGATGAAATGTCCAGATAAAGCAAGCGGTGGAGACAGAAAGTAGGCTAGCGCTCGCCAGGGTGGGGGTAGGGATTACCAGGGAATGGCCACATGGATGTCACTGAGATCATGAATATGTCCTAATATCTCGTTGAGGATGATGATTACACGACTTAGTAAAGTTATTAAAAACAAACAAAAAAACCAAAACTCTTTGGATTACAGGCTGGAAATGGGATGAATCCCATGACACATAAAAGAAGTCTCAATAAAGTTACATAAAAGGTTGCGTCCATCAACAGCACCCTAATGCTTTGAATCCCCAAAGAGCAGCAGGGCCCCTAGCAGGCCACCATTCTGCTAACCCTGCCACAGCTCTGCCGCCCGCCCATGCTCACAGATGCATTTTCAGTGCCTTTGCCTTGCACTGGCCCATAGGTACCGAGCACAAATAAGCACGTTGTGCTAGTTCCTGAGGAGGCAGTGCAATTGGGAAAGGTAATGTCCCCGGCCTCTCTACTCACAGGGAGAGGCAGGCAAAGCACACACAATCCAGTGCAGGGGGAGCAGAGTGATGTCAGCTGGTGTCACCTGCTGCGAGTCACTGAGAAAGACAGACCCAGGG